GGAAACATACATACCTACAAAATTATAGGTATGTATGTATGTCTGGGTTCGTAGTGCATCTCCGAGACCGAACTTCCTATCGAACCTTCGTCGGTGACCCCCCACTCCCCTCATGCACCTTCGATCAGGGGTCCGGACGAGAGATGGGGTCGATCAGAGATCAGCAGATCTCAACGAAACCCCCAAGAGGAAGACACATGGGTCAAAAGCATCGTTCCAAACGGGGCGGTGACTGACACCGCAGAACCTGGGTTGAACAGCTTCACGGCTTCACAGGTCCGCTTTTTCGAGCGAGACCAAAAACCCAAGGGGCCAAACCCACTCGAGTCGAACAACCAGAAGAAGACCGTCTTCTTGTGTCATGCACTCATGAAGCCAATACCACAGTGGCGAAATGGCAAGTGCCGCTGTGACAAGTAAGTAGGTCATTGAGACGGCAGAAGGCATTGACAAGTAGGGACGTTCAGCTTCCCACCGCCCACAGCCGTGGCGAAAACACCAGAAATCCATCCATGGGGCCCACTTCACTAGCTGTATACACTACAACCCACAAAAATCTGGTAGTTTTGGTTATTGACCCGGTTTTCTGCGCAAACACCAGCAAATCAGCGCAACCGACAAAACAACCGCAAATTAGGGCCAAACGCACGCAAAAAAAACAGCAAACGACCACAAAACTCCACAAAATAATGCAAAACACAAACAAAACGACCAGAATTGTTTGGTAGTTGGAAGGTCCAGGATATCATTACCATGTATACCCCCTTGGGAGTCCGGTCGACCGAAAACGGTCTGTATAAGTGATCCGAGGTTCGGAAGAAGTGCTCTGGATGGCCAAGAATCGTCAGCAGTGGAACTTACCTATGAGGTATATAGGGTATGCCTTCCCAGTGACCGAACTTGAGATCCCAGTGGCGGGTCGGTCAAGGCCTTGATTTGGGGTCACTTATACCAATCCTGAAGAGGTCACTGAGAAGGTCCTGGTGGGTGCGTAAATCCAGATCCCCGAGAGCTCCCCCCCTGCTGATCGGTAGACTGGTCGTCTAGTGCCTGAACGGGGGTTGGGAGGTCTCCCTGTTTTCAATACACATTATAGTAGCAATGGCCTCCAACCTAGTAGCCATGGCCCACCCAGATGGTCTGAGATGGCCCACATTCCTTCGACTAACCATCTGAAACTCCCAAGCCCAAGGACCCAGGACAGTTCGGCCATGTCCTTCAGGCGAGACTTGCCCCGGCACCGTTCAGAACATGTGAAAGCCCATGTCAAGACCTGCCCCGCAGGAGACCAATGAAAGAAGTCACTGTATATATATATATGTATATATATAACCCTAGGGATCTACATACCTTCTCAAAAGGTACTTGGGCCCTCCTGGCGCCTACGCACATAGTCTCCAGTCCCCTTCTGAGAAGGTGGCAGTGGATCCATGGGGAAATAGACAGTCTTAACCCCTTCTGAGAGGACAGCTCCACCACCCCCCAACCGGTCCACCAAGCTATGGCATATCTGGTCCGGGCGTCTCTCGCCCCTGGGCAGCCGTCGTGTGACCACGGTGGCCGTCGGCGGATAGAGATCCTCCACGTATCGACGCCAGACGACCGGACAGTGTCATTGATGTTTTGGCATGTGAATGATAGATTGGTATCATCGAATTCACCCAAAAAAGTCTAAAATCAAGAAACACCATGAAAACACCATAAACATCCATAAACATGATAGATCCATAATGATCCACATAGATCCTGTATGATCCTGTTCTTCTTCTCGGCGATTTCAATGTTTGCAAATCGTCCCCGTCGGAACCAGCGTTTTGGGACACAAACAAATGCTTCGCGCACTTGCCGGTCCAAATCCGATAGAATCCACCAAAAAGAACTTATGGTACCCCAAATAGGTAGAACAACATTTTTGAAAGGTGTTTTACAGTTCTATCTATTTGGGGGTCTATATAATTGAACTATGCGAAACATGCTTCCGGCGCACAGTATATGTTCGAGTCGTTTTAACTGGTCACTCACCCACTGTCCGCGACAGGCTGGGAAGGTTCATGAATCAACGACTTTCGCCGAATCGAAATCGACCACCGCCTCACTGCTGGCAGCAGTAGACTTGGTGGAGCTGCGCTGCGGCTTGGCCAAGGGTTTTGCGAGCGCCATATACTTCAAGCGGAATGCTGAAGCATAGCCTTAGGTCGCTAGAGCAACCCAGCTGAAAACAGCTCGGGTGACATTTTGGTCGGGCCAAGTTCAGGTCAGGTGAAGCATCAATAGGATGGAAGGTTTCTGCAGTTTGCTCTGGGAACCCAGCAATGTTTGATATTATTTCGGCAGCGGTCCATATTATAACTGCCTTCAATCACCTGCTGGCCTTGAATTTCAGCAGGTTCCCAATCATGCTGATGCAAGCGAACTACTTGAGCAGTTATCAAAACTATATTTGGCCTAAGTCGCAACGGTTTTACTTTTGGACATGTTTGCGCATAAACTTACGCGATGCTATAGCGACCACAGTGATCCCCAGTGGGAACTTAGGATAAGGAGCTTGTTTGCACGTGGTCCTGCACAACCTGCTTGCGCTGTCAGCTCCTATGATACCATGCTTTTTCTATCTTTTTCTTATACCGGTCGTGTCTGCAAAAGGTTTGGCCCTTGCTCCAATTGTGTTAAACCTCGCAACTTTGCATCAGTTCTTGCACAGAACTCTGTTTAAGCTATGCCAAGTTGGGCCCGAGTCGAAGGCTGCTGAAGTCACGGCGTCACACTCGGCGGCTCACGGTTGCAAACCTTCAAGTCTAACTGTTCAAGCAACAATGTGCCTAGAGTATTTGGAATACTTGTGCCCAAAGGACGCCTGCCGCCGCAGCTGCCTATCCTGCCATCCATTCCATGAACCTCCTTGAGACATCTCTGGGGTTGTGCTTTTTTTTGGGCCTTGGATGAGGGAGGGTTCTGCTCGCACATGCGGATCTCCACAGACTTCCAAAGTCAGTCATTGCACAAAGACAAGCGGAACATAAGAACAAAGAAACCGAACTGCACTGCCAGGAATGCCCGTTATGTATTCATATTACTGCACGAAAGAGCTAAACAGAAAGGCAACAAACACCGCATATCAAAAGGGCAAACAAATCCAACAGAAATGCAACAACAATAAAATCACACACAAAGTCCCTGAGAATACTTGAGAAACGGTCACAACAAAGACAGGTTAGGAGAAGGACACGTGAAAAGACAAATTGAACCTGTGGAACAATAGCAGGTAGCTAAGTGAAAGGAACAAGTGAAGGGAAAAACAATAACAGCAATTTCCAGCAAAGACCAAGCTGGGAACGAGAAGCACATCACAAAACATAAATATACACGAAGCACATCACAAAACATAAATATACACGTACTATATACATTGGGCAAAATTTGAGCAGTCCATGCATTTAAAGGAACTGAATATTCAGTAAAATCATTTCAGGTTGCCAGAATTTAGCATAATGCAGAGTAGCTCACTTGTTCGACCTTATTTAAGAAGCACACAGTATGTGCTTATACGTTTTTGTGTTTGTTCTTTTTGCTGTGATTATGTTTATTGAATTCTTGAACTGTTTGTTTAGCCCATGTGTTTTTGTGTTTTGCTGTGTATGCTCCTCTTTATGTTTTGCATTCTTGGGATTTCTTGGGTGTTTATTGAAACCATAATTGATCGCTTTTGTGTGCTTTTGTTGCATGCACACCTTTGGTGATGCCTTGATATAGAAAGATCTGCCCTAATGTAGACTCTTGATGAATAACCCCAGCCATTTGAATTGAACCTCCTCATCAGGCCTGGGGGGTGTATGGTCCTCAAGAGTCTACATGATCACTCGATACATCTTGGAACAGGTTTCAAAAGTCGGAACGTCAAAAAAACACAACGCTCCATGGGACTGCCAGGACGGACTGCCGAGAAACGGCCGTCGGGGTGCTTTAAAAGGGGTCTTTCTGGATGTCAATGGGGCGGCAATCCGTCCTGGCAGTCCCATGAAGTGTATGGGAACAGTGATCTGCCCCACGGCCTCTCCGCTCGCTTCTTCGCTCCGTCGGCCTCTCTTCATCCCACGGCCTCTCTCCGCGCCCCACAGGACCGAACCGGACCCCGACGCCCGCGGAACGTCGCTCGACGTTCAGCGACGTTCAGCGGAAAAGGTCCACAGCAAGCGCTCGAACTTCTCCACGTCATCGCTGATTCCACTGGAGCCCATCCTGGGACGCGTGAAAGACGCCCGGAGACCAACCTCCACGGGCTCCTACACGCCATGCGTTACACGCCCTCCGTCACACACATGGAGTCACAGGTGTCAAGAAGGGACCGGACGAACTCCATGCTTCAGCATGGCGCAAAAACCGCCTCGACGACTCACCACCTTCGGTCGGTTTCGAGGCGTCGGACGCCGAGGCGTCGGTCCTCGGTTTTAGTCCGGCACGTTCTTTCGGTGCGTTTTGGTCCGCTGCGACGTCGACCTGCACATCAACTGCAGTTGAGGCACCCATCGAGATCAATGAAGGTCAAGGTGTCGCTCTGAGGCTCGTAGAGCACATTGCTGGGATGGAAGTCCGTATGGTACGTGGCTTCGCCAGTGAGAGGGTCCTTAGGGGTTTTGGATCGTGGATTCATCGAGCAAAGGCAGTGAAGCTGGTGGTGGTAGCTGGTGGTTCATTTGGGTATGGTAGGTTGATCAGCATGATGTCGTATGATAGGTTGAACATGGTTGAACCACCACCCCCCAAAATCCAAGTCTTCTTTGTAAGGAGTGATGACTGGTCGGTGGGTGAGTTTGCCATTGGATTTGAGTGTTCACAGAATGTACGCAAGCTCAACCATAACCACCAATCGAAATGATCAGGTAAGATAGGAAACTGACAAAATATTTAACACGCTTCAGGCAAGCAAATGACCAGAATTTCAGCAAAAATAGTTTAAGACCATCCTCCGAACATGAGGGGTGAATGATGTCCTGCTACATCCTGGTCTATATAGACCTCTACTACTTCCTTTTGAACATATCTGAAAAATGGACAGAAGAGGCGGTTGACATTGCTCGCTCTTCTGTCCAAGTCTCCAAATTAGATTGTTTCTTGAAAACTCTAATTACCAATCCACAGGAGGTCGACACCAACTCTAGAGCTCTTGAGATCCAACAAGATGAAGCGAGCCTCTAGATCAAACATTGATGTCTGCCTTACCTGTGCACCACTGACCCAACAAGAAGACATATAGTCATATAGGTTCCAGGAAGATGTCCCTGATGTTGTTTTTTCCTCTCTCTCTCTCTCTCTTTCTGGCGAAACTACGGCCAGAAAGAAGCGCCCTAACTTCCGACCTGTGGGTACCTCATACCTCACCCAACCATCAAATGGGAAGAAAACAACCACTCAGCAATACCAAACTCACTTGATCTCACTGTCCAGGTCCGCTCCAGCCATGGCCCTTCCACATCGGGTAGAGGGCCCCAACTGTATCCACATGGACACTCAGCAATACCGGAAGATGGCGAAACCCCAAACGTTTGGAGGGTGAGGAAGGAAGCTCTCGGATAGGTCGATCCAACTGGGCCCCTGGGACCCACCAACAGCATCCGAACCAACACCTCAGAACCATGCGGCCGGGTCTGAAAACTCCACATATGATCCAGGATATTCTGCGGTTTTTAAGGCAAACATCAGCATTAGACCGCGCAAAACTGCCCAACCGTGAAACGCGGTGTTTCGGTGAGTTCGGTTTTTTTTGGATGCGTAGATGATCGTAGGCTCCGAATAACGTGCATGGAAATCCGCCAGGAGCTCACCAACCTTGGCCGCTACCCGCTCGAGGTGCTCCTGGAGCTCATGGACTCCGTCCCCAAGGCATCCCAACAGAGGTAGGGTCCTATGGTCCCGGTCACTGAACATCTCTTGCAATACATAAAGTTAAATCTATTATACAACTAACTCTCATACAACTGTTTAAATCTGGATTATTTGACTGTATACATATACTATACTATATAATATATCTTATATAAGTATATAACTATTATAACTACTATAACTACATGCATGATGGTCTGAGGTCTAATACCGAACCTGTGGGGCTGTGGTGGGACTGTGGTGGGTGCCAGGATCCCATCATACCTTCGTTTCGGAGGTCGACTGGAGCCTGTTTTGGGATCCGTCTGGCAAAGTGGATGGTGGACGTGAGAAGACTGAAGTGGATGGAGGAATTGTCCACATCTGTGTCTTTTTCATCTTAAGACTGATAAAGCGTCACGCTTTGGGGCGCTTTGATAAAGCTTCACCCGTTTCACTCCGATCAAGATCGATTCCTGATGAAGGTCCCTGATCAAATAAGAACAACACCCATGCCAAATGGCCATTCCATGGCCATTCCGCGCAGCTGGGGGATTCCCCCCAAGAAATTGGAAGCCAATTTCTTCGACATGTCCTCAGCAAGTTTCAAAAAAAACAAGTTAAGCGTCAAAACCTCGTGGACGACCTATAGGGTAGCACCCAAGGAGTAGCACCCAAGGAGTTTGACGGCACCCAAGGAGTTTGGTCCCTAAAAAGCAGCCTCTCACTCCTTGATGGTCATCTCCTTGAATGGCACACGCCGTGGATCTTTACAACAAATAATCGAACTAGTCGTTCCCCCAAAGGCCGGTTGATGGTTCCATGCTATCACTATCTTCAACTGCTGGACGCAGAATCATCCCCCAAATCATCTAGCTTCCAAAAGTTTGTAAAAAACGAGCCATCCAAAATGGGGAGTGCTGGATGGACTTGAGGAAGGCTTGGATGACTGAAACCTTAGAGACCCTCCGTATTTCAATACCTTCTGCTTGAAGTTCTGCTTCGGACATAGATGATCACGATGCTTTGTCTGGGCAAGCCTAATGCCTTGAAATAGTGACAAACGATGACAAACAACATGCACAGTCCCCAAAAACACTTTGTTCCTCCAGATGTTCAAACCATTGCGACTATTACGTACTACGTTCCGGGGGAACAGTCTGCCCTCCCAGCTCAATGAGTACCAGCGATTTCCTTCGTCCACCCGCTCCTGATTCTCCACCAGCCGCAGGTCCAGATCCGAGAAAAAGCGGCACAGCTGAACGCCGGGGCAGCGCCGTCTGGGCCGCACGGCACGCCGCGGCACGGTTCGGCGCGGTGAGAAACAAACCCACCCCATTTGAACTGAACAACCTCTTCATATATGGGGGGTGTATGGTCCTCAAGAGTCCACATCATATGGATGGCCGCCGGTCCCTTGGAAGAATACCAAACAGGAGTGGGCTTTCCACTCACACTTCATATCTTTCGGGAGAGTGTATCCGTTTTGGCTTCTTCAGGCGAACACGGGTGACATCCTGAGGACAGTTCTCGAGAAAGCGGGTCGAATTTGAGGTAATTACCAAGTTCCATTGATCAGCGACGGGCAAGAACTGCCGAGATAGAGCTAGATAAGATAGTTGTTGATACCTCTACAAGCACCAATCCTTCTCCGAAAGCCTGTTCCAATACAGTTTCCCAAACTGATCCCAACGGATCTTATTCGAGGGGACACTTCAATGAATGATGATCAACGGCAAAAAGAATAGTCTTGGCACGGTCACAACCACGCATCTATGCCAACTTTCCATGTTCATGGGCGTGCACCAAGAGCTGTGGGCGAAAGCTCAAAATCAACACATCGGAATGATACACACACACACACACACACTTTCACCTCCGAGTTTTTGTTTGATCCCATTCCTCGCGCCATTCCCCATGATACCCCATGATACTTACCCTGGTGTCCCCGTTGATATCCGTTCTTGGTCTACTTGGATGTGCTGCATAATTATAAGGAACCTGAACCAAACAACCACCTATTTCCCCGGTTTGGGATTCAACCAGTTTGGGAAAGTAAAAACATCTCCTGATCCGCAAAAACAGGTCTACCAGATTGTCTACCAAAACACTAAGACCCCCAAACCCGTCCGAACTCACCGCGGTAAACAGACATGTTTCCCGTTGACGCGGTGCTCGGTGCGGCCAGGCCACGAGATGAGCAGGTCGTTGGTGTGCTCTCCACTGGGCGTTTGAAGCTCCACACAACTGTGGGGAAAAGCTAATGTCTCCTGAGCACACGACATGATCTTGCGGCGAGAGGGGTTTTGGATGGTTTTGGGAGGGTGGGGGTGGCAAAATCAGACACCTGGAAGCTGGAAGCGCCTGCTTGACTCCACCAAAAGGATTCAAAAGGCTGAAAAAGCTCCGAAGGGCGTGGACTTGGGATGTCTTCTGAACTCTAAGGAGCTACCCAAGACCCGAATGGCTAGGTCTTCCCCTATATTTTGATTGGTTTGACCCAGATTTGAGCCACTCCCAGGGCAAAACCCTAAAGGTCAATGACCAGATTTTTCCGAGTTGGTCATGCAAAAAACACTACTCAGGGAGGTCAAAAGACCAGGGTCAGACTGGACGAACGTAGGGAAAGGTTCCCATCCAATCTTGAGTGTGGGAGTTGCCGAGTGGAATGAACCTCTGGAGCTGCTGTGTGGGGCTGCTGGGGTGCACGGGGGGCGTCTGGATAGAGTCTACACACAAAAATGTTTGAAGAAGAAACTGGTGAGCATACGGTGAAGAAGAAACTGCTTCAATAGTTCGGGATAAAGGGCTCCCCGCCGAGAAACCCTCGAAGCCATACTTGTGTTGCTTGCAGTAACCTGTCTACAAATTGGGGTCCACTCAGTGTCCGCATGCGTGCACCGACATCCGCAGAATCTGTGCAAAGAAGATTCATCCAGCAGGAGGTTCGGAAACTTCTGAATCAAGCTGTCGCAGTTCCTCACGGTCGATGGTGAGTGCGAGACCATCCGAAAAACAGCGAACACCCTGTTCGCTATTGTTCCAGGTGGCCGAAGGATGGGAATGAAGTGATGGGGAACCATGAAATCCACCGGACCAAAAGTCACGTTCGACGGGGTGGTGTTGAGTCCAATCCAGTGAGTGGATGTGACGACGGGCACCCCGACGACCTCCATGGAGTCCGCACCCCGTCGAACGTGACTGGTGGAATATCGTTGTTCTTTAGTATACATTTCCCAGACACGACCCATGGGATTGGTCTATTTACCGATCAGGCCAGGGGTGGTGCCAGGGGGGTCGACCTCTGGGGCGGCAATCCGCAGTCCCAAACAGGTCCTGGACCGACAGGTCTGGAGGTCCGGAGGTCCCGGCGCCGGTCCCGATCCCTTAGGGCAAGCCAGTGGTCCAAAGCAAGCCAGTCGTGAAATGCTGACTTGTCCAGCACGACAGGGTCGGGTACGCGCGCCGACCTTTTTTCCGGTAGCACTCGTATACGAGCTTGGGGACGCGCTTTGGGCCGCGCCCTTAAGGTTGGCCCAAACCTGGGCGGGACCAGGCTATTACAACATATTACAACCACTCTGGCGGAAGAACAGCAAGGAATTTGTCAGGACTTCAATGCGTTTGATTGCCGTGCGTGGTGTTTCTTTGTATTGGAGCTGATTCGGGCGGAGGAGCTGGATGTCCTTCGAATCATAGGCTCCATGCTGTGGCAGGGGCTGCAGCCGGAGGACCCCCCCCCCGGAGCATGGCAATATGCCATGTCTTGCAGGAAGCAAGACTGTGCCACGCGTAAACCAGTAGGGAACACATAGGCCCAGGATGGCCCAGGTTCATCTGAGGGAGGCCAGTGCTCGACCAGGTTCCGGCGCTGCGAGGCAAACCAAGCACGAACGTCCTTCGTTCGGCGTCTGGAGAACACGTTGGAACAGTGTCTACAGCCACATATTGCACACTTGAGTTGGTCAAGCTGCAAGCGGCATGCATTTGCCAAAACAGCAGCGGCGGCATTTCTTACACGGACCTCGCCCAGGAATCGGGAGTGCCAAAGGGGAGTTCTCTTTCTTCAGACAAGACCGAACACGTACGTAGTGAATCTGCATGAATCTGCATCACGCGCTTATTCGTCCCCAAATATGTGAACGTACAAGCTACTGAACTGCTGCCACTGCTTTGCAAATGTGCGACTTGAAACCTCATGAGGTTGGACATGAGGCGGGTCTGTTCTGATGTAAATGGTGCAGCCTCATGTCGAACTAGCTCAAACTGGTAATCTGCACTAGCTTCGGTACAAATACGACCAAACAAAAGGTATTTGAGGGCAAGCAATGACTGGTGACTCTGGGTGTCCTCTTCGGCAAGTGAGATCAATGCCCTGCGAAGCACGTGGAATTGCTGCATTTTTTGAATTGCAGGCAGCAGTCTAAGTCTAAGCAAGTTCGTCTACGGAGCGAACTTTCTCGTAGAATCTTCCCATCCCAAGCAAGGCAAGTGGCTGGTGCTTTTGCTTGGTAGAGGCTGCAAAAGGAAATCAGAGGGATCCAGGGCCTCTAATGGTTGCTTGTGCATCGACCTGTTCTGCATATAAAAGGGCCATGGAGGATGCATGTGATCACATACATCAACGGGTCTTGGAGCAGTGGCATGAGGTGGTGCCGAAGTTTGAGGATACATGAAAATGGCCGCACGTAATGTCGTAAAGCTGCGGGTACCCCAAGACTTGCGATTGTGCAACCCTCAAACATGCATGGCCGAACAGCGGTGTGAACCTGCATGGCCTTTTCTGTTCCACTGGCGATAGGCGATAGTGGCCAATACTACTTTGTATACTGTGACAGCTTTGTATCCCTTTTTGGATCCTATCCTTCAAAAAGAGTTTGTTGCATATAATATAACTGCAACATTCAGCCTAAGTCCAGGGAGGAGGACTGTTTGGTCTGGACTTTTTTTGTCTCCCCCATAGAGGCATGTTCGAACGGAACGGGACGGCACGAGCGGGCCGTAAATTGGCCAGATGACTTCGCCAAAGTCTCAAGCCCTACACCTTGACCTGAGGTTTTGGTATATGTGCTCTTGAGTGCCGATTTCGTGACCTGCACACTGCTTTCAAATGACTCCCCTGCTTTCAACGGTCCACATGGACTCCACCACGTCGGGTTGGGAGTTGGAGGAAAATGGTCGAAAACCCCCAGGTCCATTCTCAGGGACAATGTTCGGAAATGCGGAACAAATCACCCACAATGCCCATGACACGTACAGGTCGACACCTAATCATCGCTTTGGTTTGGCCATTGCATCCACCTCTAGAACTAGAATTTGGGGGTTTCGCCCGAAAAAGGGGCGCAAGTGTTGCTTCTCAAATGTTCCTCTTGACGCCCGGGCAAAAACCACATGGAACCTGAACATGGAGCTTTGAGTGGAGCTTTGCAAGGTACCCCAGTGGTCTTCAGGTTCCATGCGGGTCGTGGAACCAGGGCAGTGCACACGTCCCGGACGGGCGCCGGACTGGTCCAGTCCCGCCACCCGAGCGCACGTCCGCCCAAGGCACTCAAGTGCAGTAGGGATGTTGCAACAGCGACGCTTGCCTGAGCAAATGCGGTCGATGTTTGTCATATTTTTCTCTGAATACACTGGAGAACCTGCCGAGGTTTTGTCCTGCTGTCAGACTTGCATGGCCTCCCAAAAAATCTTCACACAGGATTCACTTGGCGATCTTGTTTACAGAATTTACACATGTCAATCGAAAATCACATCTGGTTTTCGTCCAAGATTCTATTGGCTATGAAAGGTTCCTTCAGTTTCTATCAGCTCAAAACGGCAAAGAACATATCTGACTAAGAGCTTCCTTGCCTTAAGTGGCCACGCCACGCCAACAGTGATCTGCCATTCACATGTTTCAGTTCATATATTCAGGTATTACTTTCCAAGTCGCACTGAGCGCGCAGAAAAAAACACTGAAGTTGCTTCCCAAGAGGCAGGAGATCTCCTTGATCATCCATCCCTCTTCACCTTCCCCTTCTAGCAGCCAGGCAGTCTTCCGCACTCCCACCGCCCGCGCGTGCCAGTGCACGACGTGGGACCGGACGAGAGCTCGTGGCTCGAGCAGTCGGACGAGAGGAGTAAGGCATTGAGGGTCAAAGCTGCCATTCCTCGAGCCGGTGCGGACACCGTCGTCACCACACACGGTCGACCGTCGACACGGTAGTGCCATGGTGATAAGGCGTTTTTGGGGGGATCCGCATTCCCACGCGCGGATCAACGGGCACGCGAGAAACAATTGAAAGAAACACATGCAGTGCTTCTAGGATGGTACTTTGTACCTTTGTCTTTGTTGTTTCTTGGGAGGTGAAAGGCTATATTAAATAAGCCACCGCGGAAGCCGCAGAATGGGACTCGCAGACTAGTCAAAAACATCCACAATTCCACTAATTCCACAAGTGCCAAAGAACGAAGTTGGAAAGCTGAACACCTTTGAGTAGGCGTTTTCCATCGCCTTTTTGTTATTCCTTTTTTTTCTCCGAATTCCTGCCTACTCCCAACTCATCCATCCTACACCGGTCCATGGTCCGTACTCGGTCCGGTGGGTCCAGTGGGTCCGGATCAATCCGTAGGACCTGTCGTCTGGGACGCCCCAGAAGGGACTACCGCCCCAGAGCTCGACCCCCCTGGCATTCTTCCGGATCATGTAGGATCATGTATAGGTCAATATGCCAGTCCCATGGGTCGTGTCGTACTGTGGAACTGACTGTGCCACATGTCGATCTATAGCAGATGCTACAGATTCCGGGATGTCTGGCCCACTTTCGATCCGGATAGCCCAGGTGTCTGTGTTCTCAGCACCCCCAGGCGCCGTAGCCCCGTGGGTGCCGGCGTCACCTCGCTCGTCTGCGACATGGCCTTTACTCTCTTTTTGGAGCAGCTGCGGCGGCGGATTCCGCGTGGCGGATTCCGAGTGGTCGATGCCGACGGGGTGGTGTGAAACACCCGTGTTCCAAACATGCGGGAGTCTGTATGAGGTGACTGTACCAGTGAAATTTCGACATGTCCTGGAGTTGGGAGGGCCAAATGGGAACAGTCATGTCGCTGCCAAATGGTACATATATACCGTATATCCAAACGCTCCAAATGGTGCATATAATGTACAAAATGGTAGAGTATATGTCTGGAATATGACATACTATTGGGGTGGTTTCAGGGGCCAATGTAGCCATCTATTACATACATGGAGCATCTGGCAAAACGGCACATATGGATACATATGGTGCATCCCGAGAATGCTCTACCCTTGAAAGATGAGAACGTCCAATTGTCTGCGCACTTTTTCCCCAGGAGAGTCGAGGACGTCGCAGCATTGTCTGTGACCCCAACAAAATAGAACAGCGTCGCGAATCTAAATGTATAAGTACCCTATAGCTTTCAAGGACCATTGAAAGAATGGTTGACCTGGTGATCCAGTGGTGTAGTGCAAAAAGTCGTAAAACAATGGTTCATGGGTAAGAATTCAGCAATGATTGTTCGCGGTTCTTGGGCCCAATTTACGTCTGAGATTATCCTCTTCAATTTGATCGATCCCTGGTTATTATATACAGTATATCCCCCTGTCGTTTCAACTTTCAGCTCACCGTTGCTGGGGGTGGCAAAGGGCATTGACCCACACCGGGGCATTGACCCATACGGTGTGGTCCGCCTTACGCCGGAGACAGCCCCGGAGTGTGACCTTCCACTGTTGTGTCCATGTTCTATTTACACAAAGGCTGGCTCGGGACAATGAAACGATACACAATAAGACATTGATTGATTCATAGGTCAACAGCATCTAATTCTCGAAGAATGATTTGATGGTACTTATCAAGTTGATGTCATGTTCATCCCCCAAACAATTCTGCCGACCTCCACTCCGTTTCAACCGCTGCCTCGCCCAAGGCATTCGACGAGAGGTCCAGGCCGCAAAAGGTGTGGCTACAAAGCTCTGGCAGGCTGGTGGCGCCTCGTCTCCGACCGATCTTGGGCGCTGCAGAGGTGTTGCAAGGGAGATGTATCTTTTGGAGAAATCGTTTTGGTTGGTCTTGCCTTTTTTAGCCCTTCATGATGGGGAATCACATCTTCAAAACCGAAGTTGGCTGTGTTGTTGCTTCATGGATGAGGGATATGGACAGGCAAGTAACCTTATATATATATTTATATCATGTATATATTATATATATACATATATACATATACATATATTCGTGGTCACCATATATTCGTGGTCACCACGCTCGCATCCCTTTGCTGCCGGCTGAAGAGGGCTGCTGGGAGGATCAGAGCGCCCCTTTTCTGTCAGCTGGCCACTGCAAGGTAGAGATACGATGCAACAAAAGAGTGAAACATAGTGAAACGGATCTATCTACCAATACGTATCTATTCTATTAGTCACCAATACGTCAGCCAGTGACCAATAGGTAGAGATACGGGATCTTGAAACTATTGGCCACTGGCTTCGCAAAGACCCAGAAGTCCCCCTACCCAGCTGTAGAGCTGGGCGGGGGGAGGGGCGCAGCAGTGGTGGACCCAATCAAGAAAAACTCAGTTTGGGCCTGCGGCCATCAAAAACACAGAATGTTCAGCTGCGCATGTCTGTGTCCTCCATCATGTTTCCCTTCCACCCTAGAAAAGACACATTCTGAGGGCCGCTCCAGTTGATTTGTAATTGGAGAAGGTATCATAGTGTTCTGCGCATGAAGTTTGCACAATTGCCGCGAACAAAATAGGAGTCTGGTCGGGCGGCCCGTTGCCCTAGGGGCGGCCGGCGGCCAGGCCTCATGGTGCTTGGTCTATCGGCGGTCCAACAGCCATGTATGGCTCCAAGCAGGTCTCCATATAATAAGCACACTGCAGGTTTTCCGGCGGTGACACCTGCTGCCTCTGGAACAGAATCAATGTTATTTTTGTTCATCCGGTGCAGTTCTGATTGTTCGCCGTGCATTGAGCTGTGCAACCACCTCTTCGTCTCCCTTATCCAGATGTCACACCTTTTGTAGCCAATCCCCAAGCCATGTTGTGAACATGAACGTCCCAACGAGCTCCAAAGACGCAACTGCTGGGACCTCCCACTGCTGCATCCGACAGCGCGAAGGCGCAGAATGACGTCCTTCACCTCGGGGTCACCCCGGTTTTCAGCTGGGGATGTGTTTTGCATAGAGAGGGCTTTCAGATGTTTGAACTGTGAACAGAGAGCATACAAAAGTATACTTTGGCTATGTCGTTGGAAGCTTCAAGCGCATAGTGAATTTTGCTTGCACATCCACCTTATCACACCCATATTACATATTGTACTCCCTCACTGGCAGGAGCTTGCTCTTTGTCCAACCTTGACCCTGAAAATGTCTCTAAGCAACGCCCATTTCTTAGACACGTGCGATATCACATGCGCATGAAACAAATTCTCGAATCGATATCTTTTCCTCCGCTGGCAACATGAATGTGCACTCCGTTTCCCTGAGCCGCGGTGCGTAGAAAATAGATGATTTTAGAATACTTAGACCACTTTCCCCTCCCTGTGGTTGACTGTATACAGTCAGTCATTGTTATAACATGGTTTTAGTTGGTAGTGTCACACAACGTGCTCACTGTTCCCTTTGTACAAACCACCCCATGGGCGGGCACCGGTTCCCACTCATACCATGCATCAACGTGTCAGATCCTCTGCACCATCACAGGATACATCACACAAATACAATACTCTATATTATCCTAGACGATTATCTATATACACTATACCGCAGTTCTTGGATTTATACAAATGGTGTCCCATACGGTTTCATCTGACCCAAATATTTTAGACCAAGACCAAGCGACCAAGCCAAGCTGTTTTCAATTCGCTCAGAGGTCAGTACCGTTTGGGGCCGATTCCACTCCTTCACCCGTGCCCGGCCGAACGCGACCGTGGCTGGGGCGACCGGGCGGTGGAAAGAGCTCCTGGAGCTCTGCCCAAACAAACACCCGGTTCCGGAACTGAAGGGCATTCGGAAAGGAACCCGGTTCCGGAGGATGTCGTGTTTCATATACATGTTTGATGCCGATGCCGATGCTGCTGTGGGATGAAGGATGTTCAGTCCCTTGTTGGCAACGATGTTCCCATGATGTTGCTTCATGATTCCATTGAAAGCAAATGACACCGGGATTGGGTGGGAGGAACTGCATCTTCGCAAGATGAGAGAACGTCACCGTGAAAAGACCAGTCTGACGAATTGAGCTGATGAGGCTTTCCGGGTCCTTGAAAAACGCGCGTCTGGCAGGTTCACCATGAGAACCCCACAGCCTTCATCGCCACAGCCCCGATGAAAAACGCGCCCCGTTGGCGTTCGCTGTCCTTTGGGGATGCCACGGGCGACACCTCGCAATACCAAAACCGCTCGCAAACGGGGCAGGTGTATGAATAGAGCCTGGAACAAAACAAAACATGCACCACATGGAATTCAACAAACATCTTAAATGCATAGTTTTTTTCAGGTGATGTTGTTCAAGATGTCTGCAAAACGCCGAGAAGAAAAAAACACTGGCCACAGCTGCCAGCAGCTCTGCCATTGTCCGGGTATGAAAGGCAATCCATGGCCACAACTCGCCTGCTTTACCTCAATGAGTCCATCGCATACGTAAGGAGGGACCCCACGCTCGGCCAACGAATCACGGAAGGCATTGGGAAAACCTGACCTATTTTCACGCATGGAAAAAGGGTTATGTGCCAGTAACAACAGCTCGGGCTTGAGACAAACGCTGGCACCTCTAGCTTCTGTTAAAACCAACCGACAGACGGGGGTAATCTACATACCGTGAGTTTGCTGAGGCTTGTCAACTTTCGCTCTACATTTATATATGTTTACCCTCTTTGAGCCGTGCAATTGCCAAAGAATGATCCACCAACATAATTTTGCACTGGTGGATATGGACAGCACCCACCAACGGTCCGTACATGGGCTTAGCAACAGCCAAGCAGGCCTGAACACATAATTTTGCATTTGTTATAACGACTTGCAAATTTCGGAGATCTTCCCAGCTGGGAAACATCGCCAAACACCTAGAGGAAAACAAACATCGCCACGTCGCCAAACATCACCGGATTAAGCAGCAGCGGAACGCAAAACATCCTCCACGCTCCCACCCGCTCAACATCAAACTTCTGCCATGGCACTGGCCACGCCGTGATCCTGCAAGGGGTTTTTGGACAAGTCCAAGATCCGTGGGCGCGCCTCAGTGCAAACCCACCGAGAAATGGTTCCACTCCATAAACCAGTGAATAGTTAGTTGTCAGCAGTTACAATTCCAGTGTGGTTGATGTTAGCCTTCAATGGGGTTGGGCAGTGAACCTTCTAATCACACATAGAGATCTAAGTTGTAAGTATCTAGGGCAATGTCGGGTCGTCCACTCCCTTTTCCAAGGGCACCCATGCTGACCGTCTGACAAACTGAGGCTGACAGCTGGCAGTTGCTCTGTCAAAGCACCTGAGACTGCTGGTCAGGGGCAGTCAACCCATGAACGGTATTCAGATCACATTCAGGACCAAAACTCGCCATGCTCCATTTTTGCCTGGATCAGCTTGTTCAGGGTCATGTACACAGTTTCTGTGAGGATGACTGGCAAAAACAATCTTCCGTTTTGTTGTGAGCGAAATAAGATATATATAATATATTACATTACAGAGGTCGCTTCCTATTCACTCGATCCAAACATGTTTTGCCCGAAATGGCCCCGGGATTCGCTCGGTGCCCGGGCGAAAGAAACTGCGAGTCACCTGGGCGGCGCCCGTTGCCTGGGCGGGATGTATTGGCCGAAGGTCGGGAACATGGGATCCGCAGTTGCTTTTCCCCAACCAGAGCACTAGGGGTTCTTACGGTAGTGGTCAAGGGCCGGTGTCTAATCGAGGTGTTGCGCGGGCGTGCGC